GGTCCCTTCCAACCCAAACCGTTCATTGATTCTATAATTCTGCGATTAAGAGTACAAACAGCATCTTCAGCAACAGATTGCAGTTTTAAACACTTTATTCAGAATGACTCTGGAACCTCTGCACACTATTTGTAGTTCAGGTCACTGTGCAACTCCGATGCAGAAAGCACGGATCTCCTGCGGGCCATTAAGGAAAACATTTATGAGTAGCATGGCTGTATTGGCAATAAATGAAGCTAAAACCTGATCTTTTAACAGGTACAAAAGTCCAGCTGAGAAGGAGAAGAAAGGTTGGATGTAGTATGGAGACTAGCCCACGAACTGAAGGCTGCTAGGAAGGATCATACAAAAAAGGCAGTGAGGAATAGAAATGCAGCACTGAAGCTGGGAACACAGGGCAGAAGAGTTACATCCAGCTTCGATATTTCTCATCCCTGTACTTTGTTCGAATCCTGTAACAGTAATGGAAATCAAAAAGCACCAGATGTCTGGCTAAAGAAATAAAAGTTAGGAAAAAGTGAAAGCTGGAATTTAGGGAAGGCATAACCCCACAGCTACACAACAGAAACACGACATTTGGGAACGCTGCTGTGCCGGTGTATCAGACTACTGTTACTGCAACTCATGGAATGACTATTTACCTGCTTCTTAACCTCTTCCACATACAGTACCAGAGACATTGTCCTTGGAGATGTGTGGGGAGACACCGCATACACACAGCAAAGCAGGTTTATGATTAGCCATGATTAGCAGGCCTTGCAATGCGAGACAAAGCATCGTTAAGCCTTAAACACGTGGGAACACGGTGCAGCTGCAGCTTTTATCTTCCAAAGAGCCAAGCCTTCTCCCGGCAAGTCAGAGCACCGTGCTCCCCAGCAGAACTCTGTGGCTGCTGAAGTGACAGCAGCCATGGGAAAGGCATCTTAGAAAATCATCACAGAAGGTTTGGGTTGGAAGGGACCTTAAAGCCCACCCAGTCCCACCCCCTGCCATGGGCAGGGACACCTTCCACTAGACCAGGTTGCTCCAAGCCTCATCCAGCCTGGCCTTGGACACTTCCAGGGATGGGACACAATAAATAATCCTGCACTGGAGAAAGTAATTCCTCTTCTGTCTCCCTACAGCCACCAGCAAAAGCACTTGGTCATGTGGTGAGGGGCAGCCGTTTCAGGGAAGGCCACCAAGGACTGTATAACCTACATTTGAGTTTAAAGGCTTTTTTTTTTTCCTCTGTCACCCCTTAAAGTTATCAAACCAGAAATTCAGCTGCAGCTGGACGGTGCGTAGTCTGGAGGTTTCCTGCTTGTGACATGGAAGCAGAGGGTGTAGCGCAGGGTTTTTGCATCGACTGTGCCCTCCCCAACCCAAGGGACGTGAAGAGGGAGAATTCACAGCTTCACACTGTGCTGAATCTCTGAAAAACATGAAATCAGGAGGAAAAGAAAAACCACCCACGCAACAATCCCATTTAGCTTTCGCTTACCCCCAGGTGAGGGGGGAGTGGGGAATAGGAGACAACACACAGCTCACGGTTATTTCAAAAGTTGCATTATTTATTACAGATCCCAATGAAAATATTAAGAATTCGCCAATACACACACTTTAGCCTCTCTGTTCAGGTGGTTGTTCTAGAGAGGTTAAGTGCCTTTTTTATTAAAAAGAAGTTATTTTTACATTATTGCTGTTTTTTAAAGTAAAATTATAAACCATTTGCGGAATACATTGGGCAACGAAAAGCCAAGTTTCCGCAGCACAACCTGAAAACAAACACCAAGGCATGTTCCGAAGGGTCCTCTTCTCTATCAGCTCACGTAATGCGCAAGAGAAACCTCTTCTGTGCCTAGTGCAGATCCCCACACTCCAGAGGCAAATCCTTTCAATAAATAGCAGGACAACTTCTGAGATGCAGAAGCTCCAGGGATGCCGGCAGCAGCAATGTGCAGTTTATCCTGGAGTCGACTGCTGCCTGCCCCTTGTTTCAGTCCAATGAGATGATGTCAGGAGCGCTGCCCCTGCTGCTGGTTATCACGCCAGTCTCGCTGCGGCTGGAGGAGCTAACGTGCGTGCTGCTCTCGTGGTGACTGGTTGACGTGATGATGCTGCCAGGCGTGCTGCTTGTTAAGGTTGAGGTGAGACTATCCAAAAACATAGGAGGACAGTACTGCTTGAAACAAACAACGAAGAATGAAGAGACTAACTGCACGAGGGAAATGTATGCTCTGAAGATACATCTTCCCTACAACAAGCACAGAACACGTCACTAGCACAGCCTGGTTAACGCACACGTAAGCACGAACCCGAGTTCTGCAAACCGGCAAGTAAGCCAGCAGAGGTGGTAGCCACCAGCCCTTCTCCCCTGTCCTCCCCACCATCACCTTTCTTCTTACTGACTGGTTAGCTTGAGCACTGGCTACAGCACTAGGAAACACCATCACGACCACAAAACAACCCGTAACGTCTGGGGGATGTTCACTGCCCGCAGCTGCTGGGCACAACTGCCTGCGTCGGGCTGCTTTCATCCGGAAAGGCAGCAGAATGCTTTCTGAGAGTAGTTTCATCCCCTCAAAAGGCAGCAGCTGTACCCATCCGCATCTTTGCAGTAGAGATGTGCAGGTCTCAGACATTTGCACAGTGACAGATGAGCCCTCATCAAGTCTCACTAAGAAAAACGACTGTGATTTAATTTCCTGAAGTGGAAGGTGAACCTCCCCAATGCAGAGCTAAACATGGGAAGCATTCAGACATGGAACAAGGTTGCCAGGTGCCCAAGAAGAGGGTAATAAAAGACACCCCCATGCACGCACACACGTTGTTCCACGCATCTTACTGCCTCCTACCCAGCGGGTTCCTGGGCACATGTTCCGGACTGAGCCTGAGCTGTCTGAACTGTCCAAAGCGGGCAGACGCTCTGTCGCAGCATACTTGCTTCCAGCCTCCCACGTCACCAAGCTTCCATTATTCCCACTTTCAGCAGTTCAGATCTCAAGGTCAGGCACAGAGTACTGCAAGATGCAGCAAGGAGGAAGAGGAAGTCTGTCCTTTGCTCATAAAGCACCAGGAAGTCAACTTCTGCGGTACAGCCCTATTACTGGTGTCTTCTAGTGACAGAGGTGAAATAGAGGCTCTGCTTCAGATCCTCATTTTAGCTAGAGGGCTGATATTCCCCCACATTCCAAGGCTGAGTTTGTCGGTGTAAGAATCTAGTCAGATTCACAGATCTACTGATTAAGGAATCGCCCTCCCTACTTCTTTCAGTTTCCAGGGAAGGAGAAGCACCGCCTTGTTACTTCTGACCTATGAAATTTCCATCGTCCAAAACCAGTGGAGTTTAGGTGCTACCTGGTATTACAAAAGTGTTCAGTTGTGCCCATCAAATTATTGAAGATACTTTCTTTAAAACTACGGTTCCTGCTACCAAAGCCAACAGAAACAGCAGTCAGTGAAGTGTATCTGCAGGTCTTGATCTGGCCTAGAGGGCGTGAACTGAGACCCTGAAGTACAGGATGGGTGTATCCAAGTTAGTGTTGTGCAAGTATCCACTTCACAACGGCCAGCTCTCGATGCAGAGTGAGTTCCCATGCCTGGACTCATCATGCATGGTAAGGCTGACCTGAATCCTGCCCTGAATCCACCTCCATTACCACCTATTGCTAGGAAAATGGATTTTCTGGGTCTGTGACTAGGTCTAAGGCAAGTGGCCTGCAGACATGGCACAGATGACAACAGCACCCTGGTGGCTACTCCAGCAGTACGTCACAAAAAACAGCAGATCAGAAACCTACCGGTGAATCAACTGGGATCAGTGAAAGAAAATCCAGACCTAGGAAGAAGAGAAGGATAATAAAATTGATGATTCTTTCCTTTATTCACAGGCAACAAATTTAAAGAGGTTTTTGTGTGGTTGTAGAACAGATTTTGTGACTGTTACACGGTTTCTAGATGGAATATACCACTGTGACACCACTCTCAACGACTACTTCAGGCAGCAGCAAAACGAGTTATCTAGCACAAGTGGCTCTTTTCAAGAATGAGAATGACATAATGATGTATCGTTATTCCCTGGATATCGCAGGGTGGTTCGATGTGGTTGCTGAGATGGAGGTTGCCGTTGGGAGCTGTTGGTTCATAATGCAAGTTTCGCTGCATATTGTACCTGACTTGGCCAAACTGGGACATGAAGAGTGTCATCACATTAAAGATGCTGGAATGAAGTAAAGTCACAACATGCACAAGTCCAAAAACAAGCAGCAGGTCTCTTCCTCCACCCACGGGCAGCCAATAAGGGAACATTTCTAATATCATCCCCGTTTTGTGTCTAGACAAATAAAAGGAACGAAGAAGAGGAAACTACAAGTAGTCCAACGTATATCCTCTCAGAGCAGTGACAGCTAGTGTCTGTCTCGTACACCGGTAGTGTGTAAGGGTTTAGGGCAAGATGTTTAAAATTATGCAACCAATAAGAAATTACAGACTTGGGTTTGGTTGGTTGTTGGTTTTTTTTTTTTCCCTCTAAATATTGGCCTTGTGTTTGCTATGTCGACAGAGAGAAATGGTGAACTTCCTCCCTCCCTCTTCCCTCACCTCTGAATCTGTGCAGGCCAGTGGCACCTCTCCTCCTCTTCTCCATTAAGGAAACATTTTGAAGGAGATTTAAGCTTTTGCACAACCGAATGTTTTTGTTCTTGCACATTATCAGCTGAAGCTCTAGAGAGATGGACAACAGCTGTAGGCTTCCATTCTCTCAGCTTACTCTCCAGTGTGGGAAGGCAACCGCTTTCTTAACAAGGGAGAAGTGGAGGGAGGGAGCAGTAAGGGAACCAAAATGGACAGAGAAACAAAGGGAATGATATCCATCCCATTGCCAAACTGGTGCTGAAAGAAGAGGAAAACACCCAGAGATGTTGCAGGGGAGACACGGAGACAGGCAATGGAGAGGGGGAGAAGGAAGAACAAGAGGCCAGCGTGACACCTGTCACCACAAGTCACCGTTTCCTGGGCTCTGGGTTCATTACAGCCGGCAAAGAACCCCCAGAGTCCCTACACACAGTGTTCTTTTCAAGGAGCCAGGATAGAAAACAATCAGCGTCCCCACCTTTTGTCTGATATTTAGCAGCAGTGTTGAAGAATACATCATAGGCATTTAGGGTATGTCTAGGTAAAGAAAGTCAATAGAGGTCAGCTCACTCACCTTAACCTTTTTCATACAGTCTAGAATCAGCTAGCAGAACATCTCTACATCTAGGGCTGGGATGGCCAGTGCCATCGCATGTCTGTAACTTAACCAGCCGCTCTCCCTCGCGTCTACAACACGCAACAACCGGACGTTTACACGAAGCCTAACTCAAATGTAGTGAGAACTGTTTCTGACTGCTGTTCCAAAGCGCCAAACCGTACCCCAGAATGAACGTTTGTCACATCACTGTTGCCAAGTGCAATCTGAAACTGGAAAGACAGCCTGTACTGGACTTGCCTAGACATCCCATCAGTGCGATACCGCATACAGCCTTGTTCCGTTAAAAAAACAAACAGTTGACCAATTCTCCGATTTTTACCCACCCCGCAAATCAGTAAGGCTGTCAGAATACACGTGAAACACAGCCACCACCTACCTGGCAAGTCTGACGAAATATTGGATATTTGTGGATGAGGGAATCGCACTGGGTAGTCCGTTAATGAAGGAGGAATAGCAGCATCATCCACTGTTTTCACGCTGGGCACTCTGGCAGCGGACGGCTGGTACATGAGAACGCTGTTTTGAACAGCACGGGAAATTACAAACAACCGGGCCGTTAGTTAGGGAACGCACATTGATTCACAAGGTCACAACACAACTACGGAGCAACTGCTCTATGCACAGTATTCCACTCCGACTCCCCCTTCCGTAACAGTCTCCGTAACAGCACGGCCGCACCTGGGCACTCAGCAGCAGCTGTGACGCCGGAGCAAGCCGGCATTAACAGCAGCGCTGGCGTCGATTCGAACCGCCCACCGTTCCGAGACAGGAAGGGCAGTCTGTCTGGGAGGGGTGTGCAGGCAGCCGAAGCCAGGAGCACAGCGCTCCTCTCCGTGTCCCCGTTGGTGCTATGTGGTCAGGTCAGGGGCACAGCTGACCACCGCACAGCCCCTGGAGCGCACACCTGGGAGCTGAACGTCCGTCCTTTCAGCCCAAGCTCAGCTCTCCAGCAGCGCGTAACCAGTTACAACCTTCCCCAATCCCCACCTTCTGCCCGATCGCTTTGCAGCACCATTAAAGACGACACCACGGGTGTTTGGGCACCAGCCATGAGCATAAAATATTTCATAACCCAACTCAGGTGGAAACACCCCGAGTCCCACTCCCAGCTGCTCCCTCCAGCCGTGAGGGTAACCCGCTCATGTCTTCCTCCCAGACTGCTGCATGGGTGCGTCTATGCTATTTCTGATTTCAGACAGTTGGACTTCAGACCCTCCCTCCTCAGGCACCTCTTACACTTCAGCCTGTGGGAACACACCCCACAGTTTTGCCAAAACTAGGCCTCGGGCAACACTGTTGACAGGAGATGAGCTGTTCCTCAAAAGTCTGGCTTTGACGTGGGTTTGAAGAACGAAAACGTGTTATTTCTGTATGGAACAGCAAGGAGGACACACTGGTGACAGACAGACAAGGCAGCTCGGCGATGGCTGCAGGTAGCCACCTCAGACAGAGACAGGAGCACACAAGGGAAACGCGGTGCCCTCTGAAACTCCAGGAAGAGATGAATTTGTTGCTGGTTTTCCTTAGGAAAGTGAGAAGGTGACTCATGGAAGGGCTCCTCCACAATCCTCACTACAAGCAACAGCATCTCAGTACCGCTGCAGAAGGTTGTTGAAGATGAACAAGTATTCCCTCACCAAGGACCACATTCCCGTGGGCCGGAGACACAGTACAGCTGCTCATTACTTCAGAGCTGGCAAAACTGACGGGGGTTTGGGTTTGCTACCATTATTTTAGTACAAGACGTAAGCCACTACGCCGAGAGACACGGGCCCACGCCGCGTGCCCATAGCAACAGCGATAAGCCCCTACTGAAAGCCGGCGGTTGGAACGGCCTTGTGGAGCAGTGACCGGCAGTGAGGCTGAGCAGTGCCCCTCTCTCCCTACAGGCCTCCTGCAGGGACACAAGCAACACCTTCAGGGAAGCCACAGGCAGTAACTGCAGCCCCTTTGCGCCGGCTGGGACAGGAGGCGGCAGCTCAACAGGAAAGAAGCCGGTTAAGCCTGCCACTGAACTCCGGCACCGCTACAAAGGGGGCGGCAGCTGAGGGAGGTCCTGGGAAGTCGGTGGTTTGCGCTAACCAAGGTTCAGGACTGACTGATCACCAACACCACTGTCCAAGACATTCCCGAGTTTAACAGAGAGATGGAGGAAAAGCTTGTCTTGACTCAAACCAGCAAAGCGCCTGCCTTCCACGACCGACAGGACGGATGCAACGCGCAAGGCAGCTCAGCATCCTGGGCGCCAGAGCAGATTTAAAGGGTGTGACAGACCGCGAGAGAAGAGCCTTTAAGATGACACTAACTTAGCAGAAAGGCATACAGCTCCTCCACTTGGCATAATCTGCTTTCTCAGGAAAATCCTGTCCATTACCTTAATCAGCTTCCTTTTCTATGGAGAAATATCCCTGCAAACACGGCAACAGTCAGCGCGAGTCTTTTGTGAGATGCAAAACTACGTAACTGCGTTTTGCCCGTACGAAGGCACTGTATCCACACAACCTTCTGCAGGGAGAGGCCTAGACATACCCCTCTGGAAGTGTGGAGCTGGATCCTAAAAAGAGATTACAAGTCGACTGTCTTGTCTACGCATCAGTTCATCTCGGGCATTACAGGTAACTTTAAAAAGGACTTTAAAACTGACAAACCCTTTAGTTGGACTTCCTTGTCTCTGAGACATAAATGCACACTTCCTTTTGGCACAAGGACCGTCGTCTTCATCCGAAGAGCTTTCTGCTGTCAAGTCAATAACGTCAACTTTCTTCTTGCTCGCATCACTGGCCACCGTGACGGAACACGGTTTGCTGACAACACTGGAACCTAAGTGAGACAATAAAATACCACCTTTAAAGGCTGTTGACATCAGCAGTTTCTACTTGCAACAGAACCAGTATTTCAAATCCTGTTTTAGCTCATCTTCCTGGCCACTACAGAGAAGGTTTTGGCCCAGGGACTGTTTTATTAGTATTCTGTTTCATGTTGATAGTTTTAAAGCATAAACCTCCATCTTCACTTACCAATTTACGGACCTAAAACAAGAGTAACCTTTTGTTTTCTTAACTGCTATTATAAACAGCAAGAACAAAGCCCCCAAATGCCCACTTTTAGAGATGCAGCCCTTTCTTTCTAGTTTAAATGACAGGGTGGTCAGAAGTATCATCCATACGCGTTATCCAAGCTATCCAAGTCTCCAAGACTTGCTGTTGGTTTGCGAGCAGTACCCGGATGTACTTACTTTCTACCTTGGTGCACTGTGGACTGGAGACGTTCACAGCTTCTTTCTTTGGCCTCATGGGGCACCAGGAGCCATCTTCTTGGAATTTTATCTCATCCACGTCTGAACACTCATTAAGGATTTCCATAAAGAGCCTGGAAAATAAAGTTTAATGGTTTCATTTTTGATTCCAAGTGAAATTTTTAATTCTAAGTGAAAAGGAGACAGTGTTGAAAAGCTAATTAGGATCACCTTTGACCCACTCTCCCTAGTTCATCTAACGTGAAAGCCTGTAACTACAGCCTTCAGAGACATCGAAACCTGTGAGTATCCCGACCTACCCATGTTACACTGACATTACTGCAACGCGTAGATTTCCAAACAGCAGCAGGAACCATCATCCTTCGAATCCAATTCGACACTTGTTTATGAGTTGAAGTGTAACGTGTAAGGTTACCAGCTCGTGTAAAAGGAGTGTCTGTCCTTAGATGTCACATTTGGATTTCTCCAGAGGAAATACACTGAGTCTTAAGCGTCTGGTGATGCAGTTAGGGGACACATTTGTTTCTTACATGGGAATAGAAACTAACACAGTCCAGTGGTTCCTCCTGGCCTAAAGCATTTTGACAAAGGGAAGAGTATGAAATGGCTAAGCCCCTAGACACCAAAGGAGCTGTCAAGTACATCACGAAAACTGGTAAGTCGTAGTGCAACCTGCAAGCCCCGTCTCTTACCCGTCTATTATTAGGCTCTCGTAAGCTGCCTTTTTGTCACAGACAGGGCAGATCCAGGTAGGCTTCTTTTCATTCATTTGAAGATAAAGAGCAGCATCAAAGCATTGCAGGTGTGTGCAAGTAACAGCCCGGCACGGGATCGTCAGTCTCATTTTTCCCAGCTGCAGGAGATGCATTTAAAGAGCGTCAGAACAGAGGGCAGTGAGGAAGGCTAACCATGAAATCAGCTAACAATGAAAGCAGAGGCAGCCAGCAGCGGAACCATCTCTTCTCCCTGCAGAGGTGCCCAGCGCTAAGGCGGCTGCAGGCAAACTCACCCTACCAGAGCACACACAGTGCACTTCAAGAACAGTAAACCACCCTCAGAGTCTTCCCTGAGCTGAAAACAAACTTTTCTAAACAGACCTGTTTCTAGGATTTTATTTTTATTAAAAGACCTATTAAAGCACTCGCTTTTACCATTTTCTTTTAGCCAAATATCGCAAGGGTTTTGGCGAGCCCCAGCTACGCTACACTCAGAACGGCCTAATACCCATCTCAGCATTTAGCTTCACAGACCCATCGCAAACAAGGCCAGTTTCTACCAGGGAGGAGAAAGCCCAAGGCAGCGTTACCTCGTTAACACGGTGATCAATCTTTGTTTGGTACAGCAGCTGGCGGTGTAAGCCATGCCACCAGGATGAGGCGATCCAAAGTTTTATCACTGCGTCCTTGAATTATCCTGTCACCCTGCCCATTTACTCCCAATCCCTCGATATTTGAGATCGCTCCTTCTACAGACCTCACCACACACATGAGTAGGGCGTTACAACTGAGGCATTCACAGATCTAACCACAGCTGGTTGACCACTGCTACAGCCGGGGGTCTGCAGACGCACCCTTCGCCCCACCACGCTGGATTAATGAATCCGTACATAACGAAAGCCCGCGAGGTTTCTGGGCCTTTTCAGAGCAGCCCAACACCGCGCTGAAGATGCAAATACAAATCTGACTGTGGCAACTGCCAGGCGTACTTACAGGACACATCAGGGATACTCGCAGGCTGGTTGTGGCTATCTCACTATCAGGATCTGCAGTTAATTTTTCTTTAACTGTTAAAATAAAGAAGTTACACACAGACATCACTATTTTCAGTGCTAATCGTGATTTGTAAGTACATGTCCTTAATTTCCAGCTATCTGAAAAATTAAGCTTCCAGAAAACTAGCTCACAGCAGTATCAAACAACAGTAGTTTCACTGTTTGTAAGAACTGGCCAACACTGTGCAGCAGTAGGTTGTTTGATGTGTGGCAGACACACCACCAGCCACAGTGCTCACTGGAGCAAGCTCAACCCAACGTGCAAAGGGATAAATGAAATAACCATCACTGAGCCAGGTACAATCAGCATCACATGCAACAAAGAGGATTTAGGACATCTGCCAGCACCTCGCAGCCCACCACGGTGAGTGGTGCTCATGGCATCCCCACCAGAACGTTTCAGCTGGGATCTCTAGGTGTGCTGCCCACCCTCACCGAAGAAGTGCACGATGCCTCAGCAGTGGCAAAATGAGCCTCTGGTACACTGAGCATGGACTTCCTTTTCAAAGTGCTGCAAGTATTACCACTCCTAGTTGTAAAGAGCCAACAACCGCCCTGAAAAAGTACAGACAGGAAAATTAATTTGACTTACTTAGTGCTCTGGAATGATCAGGGTTTCTGATACCTTTCATTTTTAACCTCTGCAGAAGTATGGCTGACGTGAGCTGACGAACGAGATACACGGACATGGAGTAGTTCTACAAGGAGAGTGACCAGAGATTAAATGCTGCTTTCACAGAGTACTTCCACTATGACAACAGACTACTGTTTACACCAGTCGTAGCATACAGTAAAACCAAAAACACGCCCATTGTTCGCTCAATAGTTACGAAAATCATTGACAGACAACTTCGTTACTGTTAAGGAGTCCAGTGCTTTGCCAGAACTCTCCTGCCAATCAAGGCCAACTGTCTGACCCCAGCTGTGACTCAGCTACTCCACAACCAAGGGACAACCCGGGCTGTTTTGGTGGAAAGATGGATGATTTAGGCTGCTGACACACCTCTCGCACATGCAGCCTTTAGGAACTTCTCAGCTTTGTCTCCTAAAACCCTCCCGTTGTTCAGGGTCCGTCCATGAGCGGGGAGCTCGAAGACAATCACGAGACACAGGAAAAGACCAAATGGTCTATTGTGGCCAAACCTTCGAGTGGCACACTGCTGCACCCCTTTCCTTCCACCTTTCCTCTAGCTTGCTCTGCACTTTCCAGCTAAGCCTTGTCAACCATATCCACTCCTCCGAGGCTGGCCACGTTCCCTAGCGCTTAGCGCTCTTCCCTGACTCACGCCGCTTGCCAGCTTCTTTGCGGAGTGTTCACTCTCTCTTCAAGGTCACTAATGAAGAAAAAGTTCTGCCAGTCCCACTACTGCAGAATAATAATGGTTTCATCTGTATAACAAATTATTTTCACTCCCTGCCAGTCACTTCCTTACAGCTCCGATACTGTCCGGGTACTGCAGAAGAATTTTAAACACCACCGCCTACTGCCCTGCTCCTCCTTTACCACCCGCAGGAAAACCCGCTCTCACCTAGATGAGCAGGTAAAGTTACCAAAATGCATGGGAAAGCACTACGAAAAATGGTATTTCCCCCCCCAGCCCCCATTAAGTCCCCCCCCCACCCCCCATTAAACAATGGCCATACATTTCACTGCTCATTACCTACAGGGAGAACGCTGGAGGCTGAAGTCTGACCACCCGGGTGGGATTAACGCCCCCTTCAAGGCCCCCCAGCACCAGACAGACACCTGCCAATCAGCCCGCTGACACTCCATGCAGCCCCCGATGGTCTCATTCACAGGACAGCAACAACTGCAACACCGGTTCTCACAGAGCAGAGCATCGGCCTCAAACCAGGAAACTTGCTTTACATCTCAGGGAAAAGGGGAATGCTGGGACAACCTCCAGTCATAGAATCATGGAATGG